CGACCCTCCCACGTTAAGTTTTGAAGTCTTGATAACTCGATTTCACCTAACAAAAAGCATTCCTTTCTCAATTTAAAATGTGTTCAACGTAAATCGCAAGATATATGTACAGCTACAAAGAAGGTCCTCTAAAAATAAATACTCTCATTAACTGTATTTTCTTAGCAACATTTAAAAATGGGGATAAGAATGAGAAGAGTGTTATTAGGAAGTAACAAGATGCAACAACCTAAGATGATGGCAATAATAAACCTGGCGTGATTTGAAAGAAGTCTATACGTAGTGAATACAGGCAAACGGGCCGACGTAAATGACAGCACACTGAAACAAATTACGGTATCAATTCTCAAAGCGCCTCTCAGTGTGTTGGATAAGTACCACTGTATAGACATGAAATGCACACGATAATAGTCAGATCTATTTTCGAGGTAATAATCAATACTGGTAGTTACATGGGGTTGGGAGGCATCGAAATAACTCCTAAAAACAATCGCATAGACTCGATAGGTTGCAAATAATGTGTACCTAGTTCTCAGCAAGTAAACAGTTTTTTTTAGATGTCCGGCTTTTGAGACCAACTGAAAGTCGATCTGCGCATTGTCCAATATTCTGTATCTGTCTAAACTAGAAAACTGATCAGTGGAGGGCGAAAGATAATTTGCCGAGGGATATAAAATGACTGCCATCCAATAACAGCATGAAGTTTTTATCATGCGGGTAACGTTAGATTTCACATTATCCGCACCGAGGCTAATGAGATATTAGACAATACAATCCTAAAAGACGATAGCAATTACAATGGATTTACGACGACTGTGGGAAGGTGCATATTAAAAATAATATTTGAATACTGTGTAACTAATACTGCCATTACCTGGAATGACGATTCGTTGCCACTATTTTTAATCGCGTTGGCTTTACTCAAAATGGAATAGTCTAAATCCAGCGATGGGTAATCTAAACGTCGTTCCTCCACATTCTCTGGGCTCCAGTCTCGTTTGGATACGGCTGTCACAAGAAGAGTCCAACCTCCCCCATTTCGCGTCATGTCACAATATACTTTCAAAGTTTGCCCGTCAACGTTAATGGGATACACGCCGTCAGAAAGTACGTAACCATAGTGACTGGATAGTTTGTAATAAGCATTACACGATGACGGCAGTGTGTCTGTGATAACAAAATTGAAATAAATTATTCAATATAATTTACGGCGAGTGTCGGATGTAATAATAAAAACATGGCTAAGTCACCCTTCCACATAATCTAAGATTACATAAGATAAATCTCAAGAAGTGTCATATTTGATCAATTATAGAAACCTCTCGCTGTTGTACCCGAGTTGTCATATATTTTATAGAAATGGCCGTAACCTTTTCGGTATAGCGATGTTCTGTTCAATATCTGTTCTGTTTATATATATCTATAAAATAAAAACCCAAGATATTTGTTGACGTCAGCAGATACGAAAGATTATCGCCAGCTTTTTATATAAACCCGCTACTACTCTGGCAGTAATCACCGTGACAGTAGGCCTGTGTACGTCAACCTACAAGAAAATAGCTTCGGTTTTCATAGAAACATGCATATATTTACAGTCTGAGAATGAAAACGACGGCGAAGTGTTGAAAGTGAAACTGTTGCTGAAATAACACCGAATATTAATATATCATATAACACCTTCGTGTATCATGAGTCCAAGCCTTTCTACCGCCTAAAGTATGTGTGGAATTTGCTTTTGTTTGATTTAATACTGACATATTTGTTTTTGACCGATAAACGGAGACAGATCATGTTAAAACAATACATCACACGATTTCGAAACTGTGATGTCGTTGTACAGACTCGGAGACAATTAGGAGTTTTGTCGATAGTTGCCGTCGATCCCTTTCCTGCATGCATACATACCATCATTCGTACAAAACTGAGTAAAAATGTATAAAATGAAGAAGAAATGCTTTATATTCAAAACATGTATTAAGTATATAACGTTCTATACAGTTCAACAATTGCATTTTCACGCATTTTGTTTTACCAATGACCGATTATTAATTCGTAAATGTGTATCTACAAATATCAGAGACTTCGGAGTAGCGCCGCATAACTGGGAACGTATTGCCGGATTTCTTATACGGCGTTCTATTCATAGTACGAGAAATCTCATTTCCCACGTAATCTTTTTAATTGCGTCAGCGTCACGAAACCTTGAATGCACATTTGTGATATCCACTGGCAGTTTCCAAACATCTACCGTAATTAGTGTCCACTACTCCATATCAAGTAAGACCTGCGTACGATTAAGATTCGCTTTGCAATTCGATGGGAACAAATAATACACGTTAATGTATTTTATCAAAAGATAAAATTCTTCCAACTCACTGTGTTACCCCTTATTCCACCAAACGTTACAATGTTCTTCCAACAATAGAGGGCGCACGGTCTACTACTTACCAGATGACGTTTGGCAGCGATCTGGGTGCGATGTCACAGGATGATAGAGGGCGCGAGTCACGTTAATGAACGAGTAGGGTTTTTCGCATACCATTTTGAAATTCTCAGATTTGCACGCGTGACCTGAACTTGTACTATGCATTTCAGGAGTATCACCTGAAATAAACGAAAGTGGTCTTACAAGTGTGTCACGAGGCGTCTAGGGCCGTATTATAATAAACGAATTACGTGCTGTACACAAGAGATGATGTAATTATGTATTAAAATATTATCCTAGTATAAACTGTTAAGGACCACGTTCTGAAAGAGGATTTATAGCCCAGAGTTATATTTTAGCCCAAATGTTAGGTACAGAACATTCCTACGCACATTCTCGTTAGTCCTGAACTTTCAGTTATTATACTATCATACTACGCTTGTTGCTTCAAGTAATTGTTATTTTTCTGGTCAGTTTATTCATGTGATATTTTACAAATATATGTAAAAAGCTAGTATGGTATATTGTTTCTCCCTGTTGTCGAATGATTGTTGTTACGAAAGAGGATTTATAGCCCAGAGTTATATTTTAGCCCAAATGTTAGGTACAGAACATTCCTACACACATTCTCGTTAGTCCTGAACTTTCAGTTATTATACTATAATACTACGCTTGTTGCTTCATGTAATTGTTATTTTTCTGGTCAGTTTATTCATGTGATATTTTACAAATATATGTAAAAAGCTAGTATGGTATATTGTTTCTCCCTGTTGTCGAATGATTGTTGTTACGAGCCTTGTTGTGGTTGTGTGTAGTTTGTATTTTCGTAACATCTAGCCCTTGCTAGCCGGTTATCTGCGTCGATACATGGTGAAGGTCGTGTTTAGCACTGTTGCAGGGGCGATACTGCCGGGGACGAGAACCATACAAAGCATAAATTTGTTCATGTGTGGCGTCGTATGCGTAAGATTGGGTGACCGGTGTGCATTATTGTTTCTAATTATATGTGAATATAATTGTATTAAATTATATTGTAGCCGCTCGGTCTAAACGATTCATGTTTAACACGAATTGCGTAATTTTATATCGGTAATGAACCCGCACACGAGGTGGTAAAGATAATAAATATTATTTGGTGTGTTGAGGATTGATATTTGATCTGACCCCGTGGCACAGGGAATAAAGTGAGTATGTGATTCCTTATCAAATGCATCGTTATTACACACATCGCATTACGGACGTGGTTCAATTCAAAGTACCAGATATATTGGTCAATCTGGCACCCCCACCTTTGCTGGTATCACTGCATAGATGTTTAACTGTCAAGTATTTGTACGTTGTTGGGCAAGGATCTTCACCGTGATTGGACAGGACTTCTCTGACGTCATCCATGACGTCAATACTGCAATACCTCTGCCCCTGACACTTTTGCTTTACGATCGCCAAAACTGACGATTTCGTCGACGTACATGAATTGTACGTTTGACCTGGGATCGAGGCTGGGCAGGTAACGCCACTATCTGCACGACCGTATTCGACGTCCTGGATAAACACAAACCCATCAGCGCAGGTCAATGACATTACGTCATCATCACAAACAATGGCCGTCGCTTCCTCTTCTATTCCTGACGAAAAATAAAAACCAAACTTAACATTGACAACAAGTATATAACAAAACTGTTAAAAAATGCTAGTATCCCCAAACTAAAATACATACATACAACTTGGTTTGAAAACAAACAGTGTCGTTACTTACCATTTTTTACTTGTACATCACATAGAGATAGCGATGCCTCGCTATCGGTGAAGAGTTTAATACTGACGTAACGGCCAACCATAGGATAGGCACAGTAGATATCATGAAGTGTTTGGCCTCCGGAAATAACGTCATCACATATGTTGTTCTGAGTGATATCCCAGTTAGAACCAACTCGGACTTCAAGCTGGTCCATCACCGTACCTATGCGATAATGGTATGACAAATTTTACTTAGCTTTAAAATATAAAATTCATGAAAATCTGAGATGAAAATATTGTTTAAAATTTAGAGATTTCAATAGTTAATACCAACGAGGAAACTGTGTTCACTGTAAATACCGTACAACTTCTAGTGCTCACGATCTTTGGGGTAAATGTAAACCGCTTAATGAATTACATGACAGTTTATCTATCGCACTGCACTGTGCTGTGGAAAGTGCCTGTGCAAGTTGGACATGGGGAGTGAGTATTAATTGCGTGTGCGCGTATTTGTAATACAAGGTTTCTAATTGTTGATGATATCAAATTTCAGCTCGATAAAAAGTTGTGCACACACTTTCCATATTCTCTGAAATATCCGTCATTACAAATACTACGTTTCCAGCTAGTTCATATAAGGTGCGTAGCCGCGCATTATTGAGACAAATACTTTTCAAACCAAGCTTGTTACCATGTCGGCGTTCAAGCACTACTGTCGATTTCTCACAACAATGGTGTCGATATGTTATATAGCGTGCGGTTGTCGTTCTGACCAAATTCCACTGGTGCATTTCAACATTTGACGTCCGCTCTGGAACACTTTTGAAGTTTTAACAGACGTCACAGTATAGTATAATCTAATAAGGATAATAAAAGTAGGGGTACCTAAGGCATTCGTGTTCAAGACAACTACAACGTGTCCCACGGTGTAACTTTCCCGTAAATCAACTCTCCAAAAAGGCTCCGTTTCGTTGGCTGTATTTGAACAGGTTGACAAATCACCATCGGTGGCTAACGAAGCATCCATTACTGGCATAGTGTCCGTACTCTGATATGCCGCCCGTAGAAGAGCCAAGTTTCTGTCTATAATATAAATTAATATGAGGATATTTTATTATACCACTGCGTATCGTATCGAAGTGAGTTCCCAATGATCAAACTGCGTTAATCAATGCATATACAGAATTGACGGAATATAAACGGACATACATACCAAACGCTTCGCATATGAAGTCAATTTCAAAGTACTTCGGCACACCGGGACATTCGTCGCCAATAACGTCGTACAACATCACATTCATGGCACAAGTAAGTTTGTTGTCACAGTTTGTCCGTGCTATGTCTAGTACCGCTGAGGGCGTATACACGCAGTCGACAGAGTATGTATAGTTGTTGTCGGCTCCGAGTGAACACGTATCTATATAATGAAAATCCATATAATATGTAGATCAATAGCGTTATACGTTTTAACAAATAGCAATATAGATGTTCGAGGTTATTATTCTAAGTATTGAGAGGTAATAACATAAAACTACGTCGATATTTTGGCGGAGAAGAGCCAAAACAAAAATATGCACATGCACGCAACGGTTCATACTTGGATCTGTTCTTCCATACGACGCCGATAACACTTTAATGAAGTGGCCGCTGTGGCAACCAAATGACAGTTTCTCGTCATCACAGCCAACAACTGTATTGACCGCACCTTCCCCTACATCGTCTGAAAATATATCCGAACTGATTATTAGTTTGATGATGATTATTAACTGATTATCAAGTTAGCACTATTCAAATGTAAAGGTAATTAATAAAAAGTTAACTACTATAGTGCACAGGCTAGATGAATGATATATACTTAAACACATAACACTTTTAAATAAAATTAAACCAGTGTAAATTTGCGATTGCAATGTGTTGACAACAAAACCACCGTGTAATAGTTATATATATTATCATTCAACAAGCGTCAGGTGGTCATAGCGTGTCATTGTTTACAAACAAGCGTCAACTCATGAGCATTTGCGTGTAATGTTACCATCGCTTGGGACTCAATTCCCGCGCGTGCGCAGGTGACGACCCTTCCTCTTTAACAAAACTGTAAAATATAGCAATACATTTTTTATACGCCTTTCAATACTGTTTCCACAATAAGATACACCCATGCCAGTGCAACAATGCAACATGATTTCGCGTATTTGGAGATCTGATAGTCCAATCGATACTGCTTATAGTGCGCAGTCGGATATGGAGATCGAACACACAATTTACCCAATACGAGGCGACCACACATACCTTTACCTCTTCACTCGACCACACCCAATAATCGTTATTTATCAAACAACTGTTGACTGCTAAGACCGCCGTCCACAATTTTTGTCGTACATGAAAACATCATACAGGCGCCACTTACCGACACAGTCGTAGGTTACGTTGACGTACTTATACACTCCATCACACGACGGATACTCATTGCCATCTTCAAACGTCACATCCGATATGTAAATATCGCACTCATGTTTATTTCCACATTGTTTCTGAAGTCGTGACAAAGACGTTTCTCCGTCGTACACGCAATCTAAAAGTGAACAGTTCATTGATTATGGAAAAATAATAATCAACATGTTCTAATATTCAATATGTCCTAGTATTCATCCGATTACGTCATTGATTATACACAATAAGCTAGCCTTCCAACAAAAATACAAAATATAATAGCCGACAACAGATAAGAGTTTTGTCACGAATACTGCATCACTGTATCCAGGTATTAACTGTTACATCTGGATATCAGATGGATCATATTGAATCCAGGTACAAAAACTTTTCTATGTGTGAGCATGTATTATATCAGAATAAAAATGAATCGATGTGTATGGTACATGAATAGCAATGATGAAATACACCTCATTTTCTAATCGCCGACTTCTCAATACCACAAAATCCCGATTTCATTCGCAAACGTGACGATACGATTGGTCCAGTTGTGCAAGACCCGAGGATGAATGTCGCTTAATAATTCCAGATAGACTTGGCGTATTAACTTGGTATATTCAAATCTACCAAACAGTACATGTGACTATACCTATACCTACCGGTTGGATATATATCATCGGCAATAACACACACATCATTGTGTTCTCGGCCATAGAAAACACTCGTCATATCAATGAAAGTATTGCCAGGACACACAAGACGTAGATATTCATCGTCACAATTTATAAACTCTCCGATTATCACTGGTTTCTCTGGAAAATCATAACAAGTGATTTTAGAACGGCGTAATAACGTGAGTAGAAAGACTGCTTTACATGATTGAAGGTCATGTGACTATTTATATATGTTTCATTGTTTCAGTATTTAGGCAAACTTTATCTAAATTTACTAGTTCATTTAACAAACTATTCCAGCATTTTTAGTTGAAAATAAAAAAGAAGGTATAATAATTTATAAGATATAAGAATTTATTTATAAGACATTATTTAAAGAAAAAAAAAGTGTGTATTATTTTCATACCTTTACTCTGATAGAATGTTTTGCGATGATTTCCATACGAATTGTGAGCGATACAAGAATAATACCCTTTATCGTTATAGAGAGGAGAAAATTGAATATTAGACATTGTGTTGTACGAATCGATATCCGTGTTTACAATGTCAACATTCCACGCTGTTGTGAAAGTTTCTCCATTCTTTTCCCAAGTTATGGAAGGTCTAGGAATCCCAAAGGCCTGGCAACTGATTGATCCGTTCTTGTTAAATATCAAAGCAGTGGAGTTTTCCACTTTAACCACGTGAGGGGTTGCGTCTGAAATAAAATAACAAAATTAATATACGCGAATTTTATGATTTTAGGATTTATTTGTAGTTTCAGTGCTAAATTATGAACGCTGATACTCTATCGACGATAACTATATATACTAATATTGGATTTAGTGGTAGTTAGAGCTTTTTAGAGCAGTTAGAGCAGATTATAGTAGCATATTATTACGTGCTACCTATGATACATCTACATCGCCGAGTTCTCCTACCTTGTACGTTACATCCGTACAATTCAAACCGCATCGCAATGTCATTATGCCATGTCTGTGGTACTAGCTTGATGAAATTCCCAGCAAGGAATGATTCCAAATACACGTAAGTGATAGCCGTACTGTCGGAATTCGCTGATAATAACTTCAACATGTAAATATACAATAATGTAATACAATTAGAAGCAATATGGAAAACATATATATATATATATATATATATATATATATATATATATATATATATATATATATTAAAATACATTTCCAGATTATTTTCGACTCGTTTTAACCAGTATAACTTGTACAAACCTGTTCAACATTATTGATCGAGTAGACAGACATTGTCGTTCCATCAAAGCTGTACATTAGCTTAAGCGTCTCAACCCAGCTATCTCTCACAGGGTGGCCCTGCATCGCTAGTTTGGTAATACGCATTGTAGTTGTTAGGTTGACCATAATCCATTGATCTTCATCGTTGTAACTAGGCGACCATGCCCCGAACTCATTATTTAAACGAGAGTACCACTTGAATGTGTCTAATGTATGAGTCAGTTTTGTCGATGAGACTGATAATAATGTATCTGACAATACCGGTGATTCCAGACCAACAGGTGCCATACAAGCTGTGTAATTGAACAAGTCGTCATTAAAAGATGCTTTGTAAATTTACGGTATACTAGTAACTAATACTGCATATAATGACGTTCACATGTATCTAATATTCAAATGAGATTCAAACCAATGCATTCCAATTACAATATTATGGTTGATACATAATAGTTTAGTTTATTAATTAATTCAATAAATACCATTTATCAGAGAAAAAACAATTGACTCCATACACTATTACTTACTATTTGGCAATACATATTGAAATTATTTTAATTGAAAAAGTCAATTGTATTGAAGGTCCCAAATTCTTGATTCACTTTTGAGACAAGTTAAACCAGAACAAATTTAAAATAATGTTCGTTTAACACATATCTGTCTTAAATTACTACTTTTTTCCATGGATCGTTTCATTCATTTTAAGAAGTTATTTCTTTTAAAATATACATCTGCTCTATATTCGTTTATTTGAAATGGTATAAAATAAGCCAATCACTATGTACTATTGAAAAGTTAAATAAATAACAGGTAAACTGCGTCATTGTAATTTGTTTAATGGGTGTTTTCCTATATTTCTCTTCTCAAATGATTAACGTTTGTTATTATTACTACAAATAAAACGTGGGAAAAATCAAACGATTATGTTACACTGATTAAACTTACTCTGTTGACAAACGAATCCTTTGAAATCAGAGCAAACAGAACCATCCCAGAAATAGGAGATGTGTTCACTCATGAATGAACACGGCATATCGCTACTGTACACGTAAGATGGTTTGAAATTTTGGTACAGCGGCTGCAATCCATTGCTCCAATAACATGTGTTGTCCCAACGCTTGTGGCATCCAATCCAGACGTCTGTTGTTGCACTACTTTCAACCAAATCAGTCACGAAGTTTTGTGTGGCGTTATCCGGGATACAAACAAGGGTAGCGTGATGACGCTCACATTCATTCGCTGCCTCACTGTAATGGATATACGTGTCGTTCACAAGGAAACAATTGTCGTCGAACTCCGTCCAGCTATCCTCACATCCATCTGAAAAAATAAAATGGTAAATGTTTTAGTGGATATTTTCCTATCAAACGTCAGGTTTTTTCAATAGCTGTTCCAGCCCTTATAATCATATGCACTGACATCAACATAGGTAATGCAGCTGAACTAATAAGTCAATCCACTTTGCAATTTTTGTCATTCGAGTTAAAGACCGTATGATGCTTGCTTATTATCAAATAGTATCATAAGAAATATATGATTTCAGTTGTTAGTAATGTATTGGTCTAGAGAAATCAAATGTCATTATAATTACATGGGTTGAAATAGATTTACCACCGGTCTACACAGCTTCCAAGTCCGAACTATTAACAGCAAATTTGAGTTAAGTACAATAAATAACTTAGTTAGAAATGTGTTCGAAACCAATGTCATTCATCTGAAAGTTTTGAACTCCATGAGCCACTCATCACTCAATTGTTATTCTATTACTGGGGTGAAATAAATATTGATTCAATTAAGACGAATTACCTGATCTATAGAAACACTAACTTACCCATGTCTGTATTATGTGGATCACATGTATAAAATACAATTAATTCTTCTAATCGTTTCAGGCATGGATCGTCGCCCAGCATTGAAGGATCAACAACAATGCGACACAGCGGTTCTCCATCACACATAGATTTCAATTTATCGGTCACACTGGTAGTGAAACATGGCGTGTCAACAGTCTCAGGATCTTCTGGAACAGCACAGATGGAATTACCCGTAGATTTCCCATATAACACATCTTGGATCGTAATAATATCATCGTTCATACAGCTGAGGTCCAGAATATTACCGGTACATTGCTTAGCAGACAAAACCATGGATGTTGATGTATCTGAAAAACGTGGAATTAAAGTCATACATCAAGTGTGGTAAACAACAAAAGCAATTTTAAGAATGATATATTGGTTAAGATTTCCACAAAAGACGTAATAAAAAAAAATTAATAATCAATGGGCGAGATTTACATAACGCATCAAGGTAAACTATATAACACTAATAACAAAAATATATTACGTAATTCCATACCTTGGCAACTGTAAGTGATATTTAAGTACTTGTATACATCATTGCAAGGATCGGTAACACTAAGATGGCCGTGGGTGGACTTTACAGAGCAGGTACTATTACCGTCACAATCAGCCCTCAGCTTCTCAGCTACATCCATAGTTGATGGACAGGAACTGACACTGGTAGTCAGAGTACCGTGCTGACAAATTTCACTTCCAGCTGTTCGACCATATGTAGCTCGTATGACAGACACGCCTTGGAACTCCCGGCATGATAATACCGATGTGTCATACTGACAGGACACATCACTTACTGTCGTATCTGTATCAGATTTATTTTGTACCAGAACGTGTTAGACATAGATTTTAAAGTGTTTTCACTTGTAGTAATATTTAAACCACGTAAGTGTTATAATTGGGCAAACAAGATACAGTTTTGCACGAAGCGTAAAATGAAATATGAAGTAATATGGTATTTAATTTATATTTACCTGTCAGAGTATATTTGCAAATAAAATGCCTCGTACTTATGGAGCAGTCGTGGCTGAACCAACGCCCGTCTTGACCGATCTGGGAACACTGATAATCGGGTCCATAATGGGGATGCCCGACTGCCCAATTAGTGAACAAACTGACAGAGCCATCGCTCCATTCAAAGAATGCGTTTGAATCTTTTCTGTTGAAACCCATGCTGAATTGATTTATGCCATAATCTTTAGAATAACTATCGAGTTTAGATGTGAAGAATTCTTGTTCCGTCATACTTTCAATACTGGCAAGGGATGCACCTAGTTATAGTGTTGATTGAAATAAATGTTAACACTATAACTTTATATAACACCGAAGTACATAAAATATGTATTTCACAATCATCGTAAATTTGTTTATATCAGAAACATCCGGTATGGAACTCGGAGCATTGTTATTTACATACTATCCCATTGTTTTTTATTGTAATACCGGGGGTTACCTTGTTCCATGCACGTGACTAATGCGTCATCCCATGTTACTTTCATCGTCGTGTCGAAAAAATAACAAGAATCCATAAACGGCACCCATCCTGTATTACATTTTGTCGTATCTAAATGAAAATATTGGATTTTAACATTTAACATGATTTATTTTATAGTTTACAATCTTATAAATAATATTTTTAATTCTCACAATTACCATACAATGTATGACATGATTGCCATATTTACATCGAGTGGTTATAAACCGGGTTACATAATCACATGAAATCTTCTCTATATCATTCATGTATGAATTAAAGCACTTATATAATTAATACCTTCGGGAACAGCACATCCGTATAATTCTATGGCTGCAATTTGCGACTGATTTGTGGATGTTTCTGCTTCTGCATTCAGTAATCGTACATAGCGGGTGTGCATGGTAAAACGATCGTCACTGGTCGAATCGGCTAATTTGTAGATGATAAAGCGTTCATTCTGATCATCGTAATCAAACACCTGTAACAAAACAACGTGAATGGTGGTGTTGATTGCGTTGCGGAAACGTGTATCAGATCTCAGCAATTCCGAGGCTGTATTTTTTACCTTTAGTGCCGGAAAATTATTAACACGACATGTATTTTATTCACTTACATGATTCATTGTCATCCAGTTTACTCCATTCTGACTGTAAGCAATCTTGAAATCCATAAATTCATTTAACGCCGCATCTTCAATAATCTCCAGCGCTACCATAGTAACAAAATGCGGATCACCAAGATCGACCTGGAAGTATTCATCTTTGTGATTGCCGGTGTTTGAGAACCAACCATGTCGTCCGGTTGTTGGGTCTTCAGAGTTGAACAGTCTGCCATAAAATGGCTGGAATTTAGTGCCATCTTCGTTATCGATGTCAAGAACAGTATTTGATGTAATCTGAGTGTCTAAAATGGCACCACTTGCCATTCCCAGAGGATCAAAACATACTATGAAGAAAAGAACATAGTTGCACTATGAGAATAATAGTATCAAGTAGCCGTAAAATTGACAATCACAACACAAAATCAAAAACACATGTGATATGTGTTCGAACTAGCATCACACCATATTTGGTTTCAAGAAATTCTTGATTTTATATATATTGGAACTAGTAGTATAACATATTAGTTAAGGAATTCCTAGTTAAATATTAGTTCGAACAAATATTGCACAATGTTAGGTTCAGTACAATCATAATGGGTTAAAACTAATACTGTAAAGGGCTTAATTATTCACTGGGTTTTAATTTAGCTTATTTCGCTGACTGGAAAATGCGCTAAATTAAAACCCAGTGAATATGTAAAATTTAGCATAGAACACATTATCTAAATGACGAAACCGTGAATTTAAAACCCACTGAATATGCCTGAAATGGTAAATCAGTGAAATGTAAACCCAGTGAAAATTAGTCATTTTACAGTAGTACATTTAAAGGGGAACATTCCAAGCCCAGGGATTGAACCAAAGAATCATGGAACAACATTGTTTATGTTGCTTACAAAGTTAATCTATCTTTTGTTATCTATTGTGATTTTAATCCAGAAAGTAAATTTGTTGTGAGATTAGGCTTAACTGGAAGTGCCCCTTTAATATACGACACTACTGAGAAGTACTTTCTAGTACATTATAAATAACACTTGTCAATAAAAATACGACAGTTTACTAGAGCTTGTCTAATAAGTCAACTAATTCCCAATGCTACGCATCCATAGTCGTGGTTTACCGTGACTGTGTACAGCGTTTAGTCAGTACAGAAGTGTTCCTGTGAAACAATACAATGGACTGGGATTCACTGCATATGCAAAATTGTACGTACCTTTGGAAGGCGGCACTGTTTTCGGTGTGTACCCATCAACCGTACATCCATATATTATCACATTTCCGGAAATACCATTGTGTATACTACCCTCCGTAGGTGAAATTTTAAGCAATTTGGCTGCCACGATGGGGCTCAACAATGGCGTTCTAACCCATGTAGCGGAATCGAAATTACCTGCAAATATCTGTAGATAGAATAAAAAATGAACATACATGCAACATAATGTAATGGTTAATTGAAAATAATGTTGGATTAGATTTGTTTGTATATATTTTTCTACTTCAGAAGATCATTAATGCAAGTTGCATTATAAGAATTTAGCGCAAATATGGTTTTTAGTTGTAAGTAAAACCATGTATGATAATATATGACTTATATAAATGTGTTCACACCTTTGGAATTCCTCTTTCGCGATACAGAACCCACTCTTCGCCATTCTCAGTAAAGAACAACTGGAACTCAGTTACCCAGTTGTTAACATCAGCTGTCGTAACTACCATAGTAACCGTGTGTAATCCTCCAAGGTCCACGAGTATGTAAGTACTAAGCACACTGACTTGAACATCGCCTTGGTAGTTATCATCTAGGCAGTCTAGTTGTAAATAGTGGAAGTATCATGAGAACATTTGCGTCACAATCTTGATATTCATTTTCAATATGTGTCAATAATTATTTTGAGAGATATTGTCAAGGTCACATATATTTATATCTGCAGATCCTATCGATCATTCGTAGTCTACATGTTATTCATTCAAATCTTTGGTCGGGCCGAGTTCAAATCCAACCCTGGTTTGAAGACTAATAAAATAAAAGTGATTGATTCATACATCGGTGAGTGTGACAGGGCAGGATTAGTCCACGGGTCGAGATTCGTTAAATGTCAAGACGACTGTCACGACATTCCACATATTTGACTAGAATCCCCGACACCATTGGATAATTCTGAAATTAAATTCGGCACCGAGCACGGAACAGACTGACATTATCTTGATAATAATAATGCCCGTTTCTTTATATTCTGATTTTCGGAGTACATTTTTTTCTGCAGCTATTACGTGATTTGTCTGTTACATTAATAAATTATAGTTCAGAATAGACACACTGAATATGGCATTAAAACAATAGAATATGCTTACTTATCTCGCGTCTAATATAATCCCATTTCGTGGCATCGTTCAATGTGGCATCACAGTAATCATTTTTCTTGCTCAGAACACACTCCTGGGCGCTGGCCTTGTATTCAGCGGATCTACATGTAAAGTCCAAGTTATCTTCACATAACTGTTGACATTCATCTTGAGTGACGTCCTGTACGGATTTGTCGTTGTTGTCCACCAACTTGCTGTAGGTTAACACCGTGTATGTGCTCGCATACACACCTGGTGAAATTAAAAAGATATTTTGATCATGCAGAAAATACACGTGTGTGTTCGTGTGTATTTCACAGGCACTCCTACATAACTAGTGCATAGGCATGTATGATACAATTGTAACTTTTTATGTCAAAACTACTTTGATTTCTTTATTAGTTTATTTCACTTTCTGTTGCCTGAATATACATACCTCTTAGTTGGTGACAACCATAAAGCTCCACTGCCATTGCGATATGTCCCATATAATACACAGGATGAAATCTAACAACACGCACATTTCTTAATACGGGGTCTAAGGTATGCCTCACAGTGGTCGAACTGTCGAGATTACCGCCAAACAACTGCAAAAAAATGCAATCATTCTAATTTCACTGATACGATTACTGAAAATGCAAATATATTTTATTCATATAGTCATAATATAATTACTTTCCTCGCATGTGATGTATTACCTTAGTCTCAAGACCATCCAAATAGAGGTCAAAGTTCGTAGTGTTATTGCCATAGGATAAATAATACTGCTTCACATAGTGACCTGATGTGACGTCACCTCGTGTTGCAATCATTGTAATATGGGCATACGCCACCAGTTCAACCTGCAGCCATGGATCGTCGTCGTCATCCGCTGCCCACCACGCGGTCTGGTACGGTGTGATATCGGAACTGATTCGTCCATAATACGCTTCGTATTGGCCAGCCGCATAGTTCGACGAGGCAGTTATTTGTTCGTCGGCGATGGTTTTGTATTCAACACCCAGAGGATCAAAACATCCTACAATATAACAGTCAGGTATTTTAATCAAATGATATTAAATATAACATATGCAAAAATGACGCCTCCCTGCGAATCTACCAATATATCATTAGCCGGTTAGTTTACGCTTTTGATCAGCATGTGTTGCACGAATTGGTGCATACTATATTTAGTACATAACACATGTTGTCGTAGCAATTGAAGTGCGCAACAATAATTAACTTAAGCGTCAGGGATATTTAATTATCACTCCCGTAAAAATTTGATCGCCATACTTTCACTACTAATTATTTAATAATATTATTCATGTGTAGAGAAATAACTAGTAGTCACTGACGCTTGATGTAGTTTACAATAATATTCGTAAACCTTTACACGTATCAATAGGAATGTCTACATCAAAGACCTAACTGATTTATCTACCTACATACACCATAGCAATTACCCTAGATTTATAAACGAGCGCGAACGCAATGTATGTATACAGAACGCCTCGGGCACTGATGTCAAATTTATCAGATTTGGACTCCCCCTGACAATGTACCTACCTCCGCATACAGTACCCGAGTCGCAGGATCTGTAAAGGTATTTGTCCTCTTCTGAACAATCCAGGCCACCGTGTGATGGAGTTGGATTAATACAATTTCGACTTCGCGTATTTATGCCATTGTTACCACATGAAACACTGCAGGCAGTTGACCAGGCACCCCAGTTGCCCCAACCTCCATTAACTAAGATTCAAACATAAGATTTAATATCGCAAACAAACAACGGGAAGACGTTGTAATTTGTAATGGGTAAATTGTCGGTAATTTAACTTTGTTTTAAATAGAAATCAGTGAGCGAGTATATCTATCAGAAACAGCTAGATCTTAAACCTCATTAGAACAATTGTTTAAACCATGCCCACCAAATACACTGTATGGATATAGTCCCGCCCACCAGCACCTATCCGTATAACATGTACTAATTCGCGTATATTTTATAGTGATCAATCAGTCGATACAGCCTGGCTGATTGTCTGATTGTACAGCCTTCGCATTATACCTCAGTCCCTTTAAATAATGACACTTTTTTGCAGACATGATATTTGATTATAGTTTTCACCTCTGCACATAGTAAACAAAGTAAGCCCATTTATGCAAATGAACGATATAAATAACAGGTAAATATAAATGTGATGTATAACCAATGAACCTACCAGGAGCTGTATAACCAAACACCTCGACTGACATACATAAAGAGTCTTCCCATGATTGGGGATGAAATCGGATATACCTTGCAGTAAAAGGATTGCTTAGAGTGTTCTTAACTACTGTTGATGCGTCAAAATTGCCATTAAATAACTGTAAGAAAATCGACTTAAGGTTAGTTTATACAAAAAGATTGCTACAAATAATAACTGACGTCGTGACGATGAACGTGTGATTGACATATAATTCTTTATACAGAATACGGGAGACACATAAACATGAAGAGCAACAGAAAAAAAAAACGAGTTTAAATTGATCTGCAATTTATGCTATTTTTAATAGTTAAACATATACATTCTCTGAATTTTAGATATCAGTGAATACGGTAGAGCGAATCCCGTTTCCAACGTTACCTGGCGGCCAGTGCTAAAAATGTAGTAGTTTTACGCTTTGCGAGATTTTCTGCTTTACGTACGTTCTGCAGTGTTTTTCGTGAGCAGTGTTTTGTGACAACGTACAAGAAACATGCGTCTCGATTTTGTCCTTTCTTTACTTTACTAACTGACTGATTGAAAGTGACTGTACGTGTTAACAAACGGCGTGTTCAATGGTCGGAATAGTATGCCGTTGGGTAACGCATTACACAAACGTTAGCACGGCGTGTATATAAGCACTGCCGTATTCGCCTATATCCAAGCTTTCAGATGATATATAGGTTGACATAGTCCGAATGTCTTTACCAGAGATAGATTTTAACTCATTTTTTTCCCTGGTGCTACCTTTAAAATGTGTAATTCTTAATAGCATTAAAAAATCATTAATTGTTGATATTCTATCAGAAAATATATATTTATGCATGTAATACCTTTGTCTCACCATTCTCTAAATAATCGCTCCACGATGACCCATCATCACTATATGATATATAATATGTCTTCATATAGCCGCTATTTGGAGCGGTGCCACGACTTGCCATCATGTTGATTGTGGAGTCAACGCTAAGATCAATTTCGAAATAATCAGAATTGACAGCATCATCCATACACCAGGTTTCACTTTCACCGTCAATCGATGCGTACTCGGTATCTGTGAATTTCGTTGATAAATCAGGTTATATGAACAAATCATCTCACTTAAAGATCTAAACCTTAGGGTCACGTAATTGAAATTCTGTAATGGCCAAATCAATTGAGGTCTTGAACAATTTAATAATTTAAGTTAAACAGTTCACTACCTGAGCATGATGTGTAGACTGAACATGCATCGTGTATACTTGTATCACCCACACACGGGAGACCACTGTATTGTGGACTTGGATTGCTGCATTCACGTGTACGCTGTCGAACCCCATCGCTTCCACAGACCACCGAGCAGCTTGACCAGGGTGACCATGGTGTGAAATCACCATTAACTAAAAAATGTGGGAAGTGATGTCAAGCGCAGTAGAATTCAAGAAAAAAATAAGTACGACGAGTTAACACATCTAAGGAGAGAGACAATTTAAAGAACATTCTACAACCAATTTAATAAACCCGAAACCTCACGAATTTTGTGATTTCGGTAATGTGTATGAAATGTGGAATATGAATATGTGAAAAATGAAGTATGTTATTGTTATTGTTTTGTCATGTCAGGTCGATTTGACGTGAACCTATCATACCAAATGTGAAGTGCAGAATTAAATGAGTTAGAAATATAACACCTACCTGGTGTGTATTCGCCATACAACTCTATTCGCATTGCGATACCTCCCGTCTCAACATTCCATGATTGAGGGTGAAACTTAACAAAGCGAACAGACGAAAGAGACGTCACACTGTGCTTCACTGTGGCTGCGCTGTCGATATTACCTGTGAATATCTAAATATACACTATACCTTAGACACTCTTAGAGTGTTAGATATGTAAACCAGGAATAATGATCACATGGATAAAGTTACATTTATTTGAGCATGTCGTCGGAGGTAAATTATATATACTCACAAAGAACACTTCTCCGAGTACAGGTACATGCAGATTACGAACATATAAACACGCACACACGAGATTCGAATTCGTGGCCACGAGAAGGCGCCTTACCACTGTAAGTAGACACATACCTCAGTGTGCCACAGTCAATTACAAACAAAATACAGTTATGTGAATGTGGTTAGTCATTTCGAGAAATGGGCCACGTGGCGTGGTTTCCACCAAAATCAGTGTCATACTCCCTGCCGTAATCGCGTTCATTTTGCTTAAATACCAGTAACATAGATCAGGAGTACAGTGGGTGCAATGAAGGGATAGAAGAGGGTACTATTCGGAGGGATGAAAAAACAAGTGTCCAGGTTCTCTCGTTCTCAACGATATCTCAGCGGCCATTTACGTCATAGGTTTATTTGCATAAAACTACTGTATTTTCGGGACTTACCAGCTAATACATAATGTGATAGATATGCTAATATTTTGAGAGAATTATTATAATGATTATAACACACTAGCTACGACGAAGATTGAACAAAGGCGGTGTTGATGACATAATTGAACACAAGTAACCGTTAAGTAACATATGACACCGTGATGATTATTTGTAAACTTGAAACAAAGCGCCTACCTTAGCACTGCCTTCTTCTTGATAGTACACCCAATCACTGCCGTGCAAACTGTAAGACAAGTAGTATGACTTCACATACTTGCCAGTTGCTGGCATTCCTTGGGTACCAACCATCTTCAATGTAATTGCATCCTGAAATGTCAACTTAATCCAGTCTTCAACATCCGGGATATTTGGTACCCATGCATGTTCATCTATATCGTTTAAACGGGCCCATAACCCTGAATAGTCAGTCCCATCCAGTGGCTCGGATACAGTTATGCTGGAGTCTGCTATGGAACCATCTTCCATACCAAGGGGAGTGTCCTCATTGTCTACGAAAACGGGAAATACAAAATATTCAGTCAACTCTCGCCAATATATAATAGATTGGCGATAATCACACCGTCGATTTGCATTTCGCTCTGATAAGTTGCGGAAGTGGTGGCATCTACATACTTAAATCGTCGCGTCATGTGTAGTGGTTGTGAGTTCGTACTTTGATTGGTATACAGTGGGAGGGCCGTACCTGAGCATACAGTCGCCGCTTCGCATTCGAACCACTGAGTGGAACTCCCAGTGCACACACCGCCATATTGTGGAGCAGGGTTGTCACATGACCGGAGCCTCTCTTCTATACCTTCACTGCCGCAAGCCACGGAACAATCAGTCTGCACCGTCCAATCACTCCAACCTCCGTCAACTGAAAGCAATAGCAATTCGGGTAACTTGGGGGCGTGTATGTGGGGTAGAGTACGGACGACATGGCAAATAACTCATGAATATGCAATTATTAAGAATACCTATCGACACTTAATCCAGTACATGCATTACTTAGATGGAATTAAGTAAACAGTGGCTCACCTGGTTCATATTGTCCATAGATTTCTACCCTGAGGGCTATCCTATTCTTCCAAGCGTGGGGATTAAATTTCAGATATGCAACGTTTGCTATCGGTTCTAAGCTGTGCATCACGACTGAGGACCCGTCTATATTTCCTCCAAATAACTGGTATAATGTAAAAATACCACGTGATATAATAACAATACATAGTCGTAGAACCTGCTGGGTGGGACGATTCAGTAGATTCTTTTGAATTTTAGAACCCAGTTTGCATTAACGCGCCGAAATATTGATACATAAAGGATCAGTTATAAGGTGAATTGTGGTCGTTTCAAAACTATTTATAATATATAATTTAAATCATTATATTGTATTGTATTCGTAGTAGTTCTTGTACATGAGCCGTGAGTGTGACCAGGTCTATTGCGTGAGATGCATTACTTGGCGGATGTGTTTTTGTTGATCCCAGCTTAAAGCGGGAGGGTCGTCACCTGCGCACGCGCGGGAATTAAGTCCCGAGCGACGATAACAACACACACTAAAAACGCTCATGGGTAGATGCTTGTCAACAATGACACGCTATGGCCATCTGACGCATGCGCAGGTGACGACTCCCCTGCTTTAAAGCACCAAATTCGTCGTGCAATGCGTGACTGAACGACGATTGTGTTTTTGGCACGCATGTTCGACGCCGGCATATATTCCCATGATGTCATCACGATAGTACTATGATTTCACTGTTGTTACAAATTAGTTTCTGTACCAAGTAAAAACATCAACCTTGCATGACATGCTCACCTTTCGCTCACCGTTCTCTTCGTAATTAATCCAAGAATCATCGTCACTACTGTACGATAAATAAAATGTCTTCACGTATTGGTTAGGGTTTGACGGCCTCGCTTGCACAGCAATCATTCGCACTATTGCTACCCTTGGAAGGGATATTTTCAGCCAATCAGTGTTCGAAGGACTGCTACCCGTATACCATGCTGACGAATCAGTGATGTGATTCAATCGACCTTTCTTAGCCGTGCTTTCACCGCGGTTTGCCGAGAACGCACTGTCTGGTTGTGATCCACCGTACTTGAAACCAAATTCAGCATCGATATTGTCTGAACAAAATAAAGTTTAATTTTAATGTCTTATTCAGTTATACTGCCATTATAGTATGACTGATCGAATCACTTTATAAACTTATAAGAGAACGATGTTCTACAAATGCATTGTTTCCTTGTGGCTGCCATGTGTTACACCAAAATCAAGTTTCCTTATACATGGGTTTGGCTTAAAGCGGGGAGGGGTCGTCACCTGCGCACGCGCGGGAATTGATTCCAACGCGACGATAACAACACACGCTAAAACGCAAAGGCTCATGGGTAGACGCTTGTTTGTAAACAATGACACGCTATGGCCATCTGACGCATGCGCAGGTGATGATGACTCCTCCTGCTTTAACGAAACGACCCACAGAAATTATGACATATAATATCATGCACTGTGATTCTTGGTGACAAAACTCGCTATTGTCATATCCTGCATTTCCGGAACAGTTGACTTGTAATGATTTGAAGTGCAAACATTCACTGCTAGAGAGCTTTTAAATGTATGACGGATTATGATTAAAGGGCGGCAGTCGTCGCGCCGCGTCCTATTCGATATGGGACTCATAGCGACGTATACAACGCGTGTAAAATACAATGTTTATACATGAAATTCGAACACGCGCTGCGCGACGACCACCGCGCTTTAACATTAAATGGTATTATGGGATGTATACCAACCTGAATACACCTCTACTTCACACACGATAAGCTGACCAATTGCATCATTTAGGGTAAGATGAACGTGATTACCAGTAATCGATGTAGCGCAGATAACTTCGTTTATATTGGCAGCTGTCGTTATAGTGCCACACAGAGTATTATCGGCACTGACAGAATGAGGTCCAATGCGAATTACAACGTCATTCATAAGGGGAACTGTATATAGTGACGAACATAATAAAGTGAATTCACCAAATGAGAATTATTTACGCTGTGAATTCCAATGTATCACATTGTCACTTAGACATCGTTATAGTATCATACTCGCCTACACACTTTTTTCCGATTACCGTAAAATAACTATCATGGAACACTTTATTTGATTGTTTGCCAGTCATTTGTTGTGTGTTCCAAGGTTTGTGAATTCACTTTAACCATTTCATCACCAGACTTTCTCGCCCAAAATTTTTCTGCACTTTTTCTTATTTCTTGAAATTTCTTATTCAATATTTCTGGAAGGCAACCCTAATTTTGGAGCCAACAGCAAAATTGGAATCAATTTTCAGTTTTTACTCGACAAAATTGTCGTTTTTGTCCCAATCTTCTGAAGGAAAGTGGAGATTATAAACGGGACTATTTTGTGAATTTGTGATGAAAAGAGGGAACTGGCGGTGTAAAGGATATACATATATATATCGTTACAGCATAGGGTTATTTCAACTTATGCAATAACGTGTTGAACAGGGTCAATGCCTTCGTACATTTCACCAAGGTATGGTGCAGCAAAACATGTCACAGGCATGATCGGCATTTATATATCAAATGTACTTACACTCGTATTTTCGTAAGGTCACAATAACTTTGTATATGTCATAAGGTTGGCCAAGATTCAGCATTAACCATGGCTGGTATTCGGTGTCGGTAACTGCACAAGTACTATCAGTGACGTACGATGAGGCAAATCCATCTATGGCCAGTGAAGCTCCATTCGAACCGGTTATGCTACTTTGGGTAGCCGTTGCTTCTATGGCGAGGTTGTAATCTGGGAATGGACAGTGAGTATTGCATAAATAAGAGTTAAATATTCGCATCAAGTGAAAAATTAAAAACATAAAATCGGAAATACAGAAGAAATACAGTATAAAATATAACTCACCAGTGCACTGAACATCCGAATCACATGCTACAAATGTTTCACTGCTTCCACTACACTCAGAACCCCCATTTATTGGTGGTGGGTTAGAACATGTTCGCTCGCGTCTTCGGATTCCATCGTTTCCGCACTTCACGCTACAGTCGCCCGAATCTGTCCAGGAACCCCAGTTACCATCCTCTTATAAAATCAATGAACAATCAACACTGGTTAACGTTGGTGGAAATGTGGTGGTGGGCAGAACAATTTCTAGAAATCAGTTCTATTTTGAAAATGACTATGTTTAGAGAACTGAATGTAGTTTATTATGTTTCATAGTCACGCCCAAAGATGTCAAATGTACACAGAGTATACACCAACATTTCACATAAACTGCAAAAAAACTCTCACCTGGTGGGCATGCATTGCCATCTTCAATTCCACACTCGATAACCTGAGTCGATGTCTCCCCGCAGTCATTGCCGCCATTCGATGGAACGGGGTTCGTGCAAGTCCGTGTTTGCAGCAACTCTCCACCAGTTCTCGTGCCATCACTCTCTTCAATATAGCATGTAACACTGCAATCAGCACTGCTCCATTCACTCCAACCTCCGTGAACTGAAAAATGATATATATATAATCAGCTTAATATTATTGCGTACATTATTAATTGCTATTTTTTATCATAAATAAGCCTATATAAAACGAAATTGTTTCGTGTATTATTGAAACATTTTGATACATATTTTAAACTTGATAAGGAAGTGTCTCTGACATTCGTCAACTTTGGGTGGTTTTATAACTACCTTGAACAAACGTTTGGTGGCCCTGGAACTACCTCTTTCGAATTGGAGATAATTCTCTCAGATAATAACCGCATAAATGGAGTGATGTCTCAAGTGTAGTTTAAGCATACGCATCGTGTATGTATGCATTCATGTTATTTGGACATATGATTATAAGCCATGCGGCCTTATAGCGAGATTACTCTATCTTCGTTACCTGGGTTCATTTCGCAAATGTATCCATTCGCTTCTTCTGTACAGTTCACGTTGATCCACTTCCAATCATCGTCCTCCTCGTGGTAAAGGTACTGTATGCAGTCATACCCGTCTGGTAGAGGATAAAACGTCGCGTCATACCAAGGTAGTGGTGATATAGAGACGGGCGTGTGTGTGGTGTCTGACAGACTGTCTGTAGTAAAGTCATACAGAATCCCCGTATAGAAAGCATCAGTCGTGCTTTCAGATTGCAGTAACAGATTGACGTCAGAGTTCTCTACCGCATACCCTATGTGAATCAAGTGAGCTCCTTCGCCCTTAGATTCACAATCAGCTTTTGATGCTTGGAAGTCGAGTGCTGCGTCGATTACCTTTATACATGCATTGGGTAATTCGATCCATTCTAAGTGACAGGTGACTGTGAAAGCAATTAAAAGTTAAATGGGTCTTGTTTTGTAATTTCATTGAGTGTAAGTGAGATAAAAAAAATTGGAAATAAAAAAATAAGAGTGTGTACTCAAAATACTTATACATCATACTACACCCTTTTGTTTCCACACACTTAAAAAATATAGTTTACATTCACAAATTTACAGTCGAGCAAATCATACGTCTTTACCAACTTTATTATAATTGTATATTGCTTGATGTTTACGAGTAAAAATACACATAAATCAGCAGAGTGGCGAGCAATACAAATATAAGGCCTTTCCAACATATATTTTACTAATTGCTTCTCTCAATTAGAAGAAGATCCTATATCTATAACAACATCATCGACAATGTTTCTAATACAAATAATTTAACTCACTGTCACAGTCTACATCGCACGTCTTTGTCTCAAAATCTTCACCGGTGCAACTTGTTCCTCCCTCAGAAGGTTCTGGGTTAGTACAGTTTCTTGTCCTTGACTGTTTACCAATATCTGGATAACAGCGACTGCAATCGGACCAATCAGTCCAATCCGTCCAGCCACCATTGACAGGATCTGAAATAATACTTTAGAAATCAGTTTGGTGGCTACGCGCTCCACACACGTACGATGAAAGTATATCATTGGAAATGATGGAACATCTAATAGGCCACCATGGACGTATATCATTGGGTTAAACTCAAACAGTACTAGCGGTAATTGTGTGTCTAAACGAGTTGGTAAGACTAACCATCTGGACATGATCCGCCACATCCACTCGTCTCACTGGAGTCTCCTTGACATTCAGCTCCACCAAGTAACGGCGATGGATTGGTACATGTCCTGCTACGAGACTGTACTCCTAAATCATTACCACACGTCACGCTACAGTCGCTCCAATTGCCCCAATCTGACCAATCACCATCCACTAAACAAAGTCAGATAGTAAAATTAGTGAAAACGTTATATATTAAGTAGGTAACACTTCTGCTAAAATTAACTAACGCTGCTTTATTATGGTGGATTTTACAGGAGAATAATTAAGAAAAATGTTATTATATATGTTATTATTGATTGTTTTTTTGGTAATTAATTAATTCCCCAGATATATTAAGATTATTATGTTGATATGTTCCAATATAAATACAATTCTTACTACAGCCTAATGCACAAGGGGTACGCCCATAGTATACGTGTGTGTGTCGTCGTTTTGATGCCCATCTTCACGGTCGAGCAAATCTTTTTGACCAATTATTTTATGATTTTGGGCCTTTGGGATTGGGGCAAAAACGCCCTCAACGTCAATCTAAGTCCTTTTTTCAGCTGGTTGTAGAGCACTTACACCCAAAATCAAAGTAAGTACCCCTGGGGCACAAGCAAATCATCTTTATTTATTTGTATCAACAATTTAAGATGCGTCTTGAGGGCTGACATGTCATTATCAAATGCACTGATTCCATTCGTTCCTACGAGTACTTCGATTGTCGTAGCATGTGGCTACACATTACGAGATATGAGTGCTGCAGACCCTGTAATGATTATTACATGCCACATTCCATGAAATTATTACCTTGATGTACTTCGCATACAAATCCATTGAGGTCAGAGCAATTTACGTTTATCGCCAACCATTCCAAATAGGTAGAGTTATACGCCATTGCAACGCATTGTTCACTGCCTGTCGGGTAACCAGGCATCCACAGACTCCGACTCTCAATCGCCCAAGATGATAGGTCGGGTTGACCACCACCATCATCAAATTGTATGTCATGACCGTCATACTGTAAACCTGTATAAAATGCAGTCTCCGCTGATGCTCCACTCGCTACTAATTCATAATGCAGAAACTCGTGCTCGCCAATATCATCCAGGTAAACAAGATGTCCGCCATTGTACAAATCTTCACAAATAGATATTGATTCGTCGTAGGTGGCGCTGTCTGTAGGCTGACTCTTTATATGATAGCATGAGCTGTGACGTGGCACCATGTCACTTCCTGGACAAGTGACTGTAACAATAAAAACCGATACAATGTATTTACAAAAAATTGTCAATGTTTTTATGACTAGTAATTGTGTGTACACGTTGTAAGAATTTGTTGGGATGTTGATATGTCGTGGTCTTGATTAGCAGCTTTTTGTTTGCACTTTTCTTGAATGTCGTGAGTTGCTTTACGCAAAGCGCCTTTAGTTGGTGGATCCTTCACAAAGAGCATAAGATCATGGATAGAAAACATTCGGAAATAAGACGAAAACTGATTCCAAAAACTAAAGGCTGCGAAAAGAATATGTTTGAATTGAAAACATTGTGTCAGTGGTTGAATCTCGTAATTATTGCATAATGTAGTACATGTATAGATGATATCATGTATTTTCATTTGTTCTAACCAATGCCTTACCCCATGGGCACAGTTCATCGCATACAATTTCTTCCACTTCATCACCCATACACGTAGCGCCTCCAAAGTATGGTTCAGGATCATCACAACTCCTGCTACGATAGCGGACACCAGACTCACAGGAAACGCTGCACTCTGACCATGCTGACCAGTCACTCCAGCTGCCATCAACTGATATGGTAATAATAGAACGGTGTAACGAGTCAATAATTGAAAAGTGTATGCGAATCATAGGCCGATTTGCGTATGTGTTAATGACCACAGTCGCTATGTAGGCGATATTATCCTGCAAGCATTGCCCTCATCAAAGGGCGATACACAAAAGGAGAAAGTGTTCGGGTAGAGATCAAGCCTCAAGATTATGCTACACTATTGCATCCCCGTATAAGTGAAAAGGCATTCAAATCATGAATGAACAGATAAATATTATTACCTGGGCTTTTCTCACAAACATAAAACCTAGTCGTTTCACAGTCAGAATTTCGGAACTTCCATTCGTCGCCGTCTTTTACCAGCACAACACATGGATAATCCGCGGTAGGTGAACCTGATGACCACGGATCCAAGTCTTCACTGGTCCATGTAGATATGTCAGGGGCACCTCCCATTGGATCATGTTGATTTATGACGTCATCGGTGTCACTACTGTACGTCATGCCTGTGTACAACTCGCTACTCGCAGCAATGCCTTCAGTGTTCAGCCAATCGCTGACGAGTACTTGTTCTTCTCGTTCTCCAACGTAAAGCACATGCGCACTGATATGGTTGCACACTTCTATGGCGACCCCGTACGTGCCTTCGGCCATGCCGAGTTGATAACAAGCTTCATAGCCAGCATACCATCCTGAAGCACAAGTCACTGTCGAATATAGCAAAAAATAATTTCCGTAAATGTACCAACCACACGCAATTACTAACCTAGGTTAATTGGTGTTTCTATTCTACTCACCCGGTAAATAACACGTCATAGCTTTCTATTTCCTATTAGAGGCTATTTCCTCTGCTTCTGAGTTGGCGAAATCTGAGCTCGACCAACATGGCCATTTTCAGTTTATATTCAGTTCATTTTAACAAACACGTATAAACAACAGTCCTTAACAAATCCCATACCTGTTGAATCGTCACATAGCAAACCGCTATACAGTCCTGTGCATGTACATGTAAATTGGGTAGACGACACCCTAACACATATCCCTGCATGGTTACAAGGATTTGGATCGCAGGGATCGTTATCGATTGTGCAGTGTTCACCTAGAGAAAAAAAAATGTGTATGATATCAGTTAACATTAACGGTAGTTTAGTGGACAATTACCAATGTCTTATTGCGTAGATCGCAGTGAGTAAAGTTATGGGGAATTCGTATATTTGCCCGCAATTATTTGAGACGGCTGTGTGCTGTTGGGAGTATAAATGAAACAGACAAGGAACAAAACGTTTACATGAATTCTTTTCTTACAAGTGCAATTAAAGTAAGCAGCTTCCCGTTTATAGATTTGAATTTCTGTAACTGTGATGAGGTACACTCATTTTGATTGGTCGATGTTATATATTATATCATAAAGTTCTCAAAATACAGTTTGATGAATTCAGATCAGCAAGAATTAAAAGACAGTTCATTGAAAAGACACGTCCGTTATTATTTTTGACTAAATGTACATTGACACCACACCACTTCAGTAAAGCCATCAATAACGATTGTCAAAGCAATGTTAATAATATTAGTATTAACAATTGATGTTAATATATCGTAATATGGGAGTATGTAAATATCAACCCATCAATTATTTTGCAACTTTGCTTACACTTTGTCCATCAATGGAAATTAATCGAGATTATAGGCTTCCGTATAATGAACCACGGACCTAAAAAAATCAATAAACACGGGAGCCAACCTTGGAGGCGAATATAAATTATAAATTACATTTACGATTAGCTCATCGATTTTATTGATTTTACTATTATATTGTAATAATTGTGTATTTGTACGGATGTATGCCATAGATCGGGAATGGGGATCGATATTGCAAAACGTTGTTTTTTAGTTGAAATGCAGTTTCCTTCTTCTATAAATCCTATTACACTTGTGTACAGGTTTCAAAATTATTAATTTTTCTAAGTTAAATGGTCTACAATAGACTTATTTAGGTATGTAGTTATGCCGCCGTAGTCGACATTTAATGATTTTAAGATAAAGTATTGTATAGTTACCTGTCCATTTATCTACACATGCGCAGTGGTAACTATCGTCGCCAGGTACGTCTATGCATGTACCACCATTCTCGCAGGGAGACTGCGCACAATCATCTGTAAAAGATATAATGTATTTGATACTACCCGACCGACTGTCACCGAATAACATCGTGGCGGCGATGAATGGATCGATCTCAATGCGAGTGAATTGTGACAACCTTACAGTATAGTGAAATATATAGTTGGGTGTCTATCACATACAGTAATTAAGGAATAATAAACGCGAATATAAATGAAATCATTACCTTGACAGCCGTACACTCCGAGACGCATGCAAGGAAAATTGCTGAATTCTAACAAATATATACGAATGTATCGTGTATATACTGCACCAGCCAAAGTATTCATCACTACCGTGTCTTTGTCGTTGTTACCATTGAATACCTAAACGAAGAAAGAGAAACAATATGGATGGGGAATGGTCGGCAACTCCTGTGTATCACGTGATTGGATAAAGATCTCGTTGGCAGTTCGATTGTGTTAATTTTACTCAGCTCTGATCTATATTGAGCACAATAAATAGTATTACGTGAATAATTACTATTATTATACGTCTGTCACGGTAATGCCATAAGTTATACAGCGTGCCATAATTTTGCGATATTGGCACGAGAAGGCGCCGTTCGATCTGGGTGGAACGTTTTGAAGTCCGTCGTCCGAAGGCCACCTTCGAAGCAACAACTCCCCTTTTACAAACAGATAAAATAATTTCAGCGATTTCTTCACAGAATAATCCTCAACATCACATAAAAAAATACAGGCTCTAAAATTATTTCTATAAAATAATTGCAAAATAAATCAACCGACAACCAGTTTGATTTCATTGCGTTCAAAAATGTTTCATTTCAAACTGCGCACAGACACAGACAGTGGTTTCTCGAAATGCATACTAATTAGGTAACCTGTCACTGCTAAAAGTTACTGAAAACATTATGAGCAATAGTACTATAATGAAATATCGATGTGCCTCTGAATTTCGTAACTTGCTATGATCAAGAAAAACCTGTGGTTACTTTCAACAGTTTGCTGGAATCTGATTAAAAACGTGTCTCAAAAAACACGTTTACATCAGTTTTTCGATTATTTTTTTCAACTCGTAGCGATAGAATCAGTCAATTTAGAACTATCATGTGTGCTATCGGAAAGCATTTTGGCACAATTTTACTGAAAAGACGAGTTTGCCATTGCTCATGAATATTGATTTATGCAAATGAGACGAATATTTTAGGCAATCGTGTCATGCAACCCCCTGACACTAGACTACACTAGACTACACTACACTGCACTACACTACACTACACTACACTACACTACACTACACTACACTACACTACACTACACTACACTACACTACACTACACTACACTACGCTACGCTACACTACACTACACTACACTACACTACACTACACTACACTACACTACACTACACTACACTACACTACACTACACTACACAATATCCAATGTCTGTGTTTTGAATAAACTATCTTTTTTTCAACGTCGAATATCAAATAGATGAAACATAGCCTACCTGAATAGACCCGCCATCATCAGTGTATGCAATGCCATCACCTGTTTCATTAGTAGCATTGCTATAGTAAAACGTGTATTTCGTCACGTGATAATCATCAAGAATCGGGTTTCCGTTACCTTGGGACAATATCTGGGTTACATACACTTGTTCACCAAAATCCACCTACAGATATCAATCATACATAAAATTACATGATGAGATGGATAACATACAAGTTTTCTCTCACACATTGACTCTACAACGGCAAGCATTGTGTTTCCCTTATCGTTGATGGTCTTTAAAGCGGGGGAGTCGTCGCCTGCGCATGCGTCAGATGGCCATAGCGTGTCATTGTTTACAAACAAGCGTCTACACATGAGCCTTTGCGTTTTAGGCGTGTGTTGTTATCGTCGCTTGGGATTCAATTCCCGCGCGTGCGCAGGTGAAGACCCTCCCGCTTTAAGCATGTGTTTCACAAGTACTAAATGCAGCGACGAAGTTACATTACAAGGAACAATTATTGTCTAATTGTATTTGATATAATTTAACACAGGTATTACCTCAGACAACTAATAATTTATAGTTCACAACAATATTCAAAACTACAAACTTTCAATAACAAATTTAAAGTGGGGATTCGTCACCTGCGCATGCGTCAGATGGCCATAGCGTGTCATTGTTTACAAACACGCGTCTACCCATGAGTCTTCGCGTTTTGTAGCGTATGTTGTTATCGTCGTTTGAAACTCAATTCTCGCACATGCGCAGGTGACAACCCTCCCGCTTTCAAATCACTAACCTGTATGTATTCATCTTCAACGTCAGTATAGTCTTCACTCACACACCATGAACCAACGGAATTGAGCTTGATGTTATATTTCGAAATGCCCACAGCCCCTTCGATGTTGTTTTTAAAATACGAAGACATGGAAATCCGGCTGTCTGGTACAACTGCGGGATCCTCGATACCAAGCGAGTATTCGGATGGACAAATGACCTCGCTCACTGTGTGTAAAGCAATCATGTATAATTTGTGCTGTGAATCGATGTTGAGTGTATCGAAAATTTACGTGAATGATTTATACAATTGTCAATGTACCACAATGATATACTATTTTCAAGAATTGAGTCGAATTGCTGTCTAACTCATCATTGACGCGCACATCAATGCTTTATTCGGGCCTAAACATATTATGAGTTTCAGCTCAATTTGAAATGCGTTTTGGTTATTAAAAATAAAACAGTAAATGTTTTTTCATATATTAGTTTCTCTTAATTAATTTTGTAATAGTAATAGAGAGCACAAATCTTACGGCAGTTATCCGATGGTTGGCCGATTTCACAATATTCCCACACAGTATCTATATCCGTCGTGTAACACCATACTCCGTCTTTACCAGTAGGATTGCGACATAGATTATGTTCGCCGAGACCTCCACCGGGGTAACTGACATCGTTGACGCTGTGCGTGTGCGGGGTTTGTACATTCCATGCTTGACAGGTGTGCCCGCTGATTGTGACTGACACAGCACCACGATAGTCAGAACCGTCTGCCTCCATGTAACACTCAGCAATTCCAGCTTTAAAAAAAGAGAATATGCATACCTTTGTAAATATGTGTAACCTATAGAATGTTCATAATCTCACAATTTTTCGCTTTATATTGCGTTGGTCCCTCACATATATTAGTATATTTGTTGGTGAGATACTAAAATACGATAATGCGCATGGGCGTTGTATTATTGGTACGTATATTCAATTCAAAATGAGTATTAGTCCGCGTTGTCTCATTATATCTATAATCGAATCTTTTATTTCTATTTCTGTTTTTTAAGTTATCACATAGGTCTTCAACTATTACGGTATAACAGTACAACAAATATAAATAATCGAATAAAATTAAAAATAATATATATGAGATTTTAACAGCAAAAATATGATTATAAAATAAAAAGCGTAGTTAGTAGACAGATTAATAATTGAAAGTTTTGCCCGGGGATATTTTATTTAGCTAGTAATATTTCGATCAATCAATTATTTCCGACGAATAAAGTTTCTGAATTAGTATTATATATTATGCATGTTATTGGTTTACTCTGTGGTGCTACGATTGATTGTATCGATCCATTTCGAACCAAAAAACACAACCACCTGAATTGAATTGCAGCGTTGTTGAGATGCCGTTGCCATTGGTTTGTTTTAGGGTGAAACAACCTTATACTCAGATACAGAGACTGTACCATGGTGTTGTCACATTCATATTCAGAAACATGTGTCGATTTTTTCAGCATTAGATATTTGTAGATAAATTACGATTAAAAATAATAATTTGGAAGCAAAACTTACTTGTAGATATATGTGCTTGAGCAATATGAATTCCAATGAGCACCACTATATAAACCTACGAATACATATAATATATTCATATAACAATTGCGCAATGTTCTTTAAAAGTTTATCTGTGTGATTTTTCAAATAAGTAACGCACCAATGATCTAATTAAAATTTAAAAAACTCAAACTCATGTCAATGAACCACTGAAACACTTTGTCCAATTCATAAAACAAACTCGTTGCATTCAATAACGCATGATGTTTAATATCTAGATATTGTTATGATTCGTGAAGGGACGGGTCAAACTACAAAGATCAGGAATAAAAGAACGCGGTGTCTCAGGATTGTCATGTGATAAACTTTTTATCACACATGGTCTCCCCGATCTATTTTTTGTTGTAGGATAATATACTGTAAAACATGTCTTGTTAGTTAGCATGTTATTTTAGCTAATTTACGGCTTAATCTGTAATTTCGATAATTCAAGATGTCATTAATTTAATAAAGTATATTCTCACAAAGATTGTTGGCACTTTAGCTAAATTAAGATTCAGTTAATTCAAGCATGGAGGCAAATTCGCTAAAATGGCATGTAGCTATTTCAACATGGTTTACAGTAGATATTTTCTTTTAAGCTGTATGCCCTGTTATGAGCGTGCGTATGAGCGTATTGTGAATAACACACAGACACGCGCATTAATATTTTTGGTCTAAGTTCCCGAAACACGTCATATATGCGCAATTTCAAACTAACAATGCGACTGTGTTGATAATGACTGCTATGACGTTTTTTTTGTTTATTTTTGAATATGTTATACCTAAAATTATCGATTTTGGAAAGCGTTAAATAGCCCACTTTCGAGATAAACGGCCGCTGTCGGCGCCACCCTATCATGTGACCAAACATTTTTTCACGGTGGGGCCATATTGAAGTCGGCCCAGCCTGTGTATGTACTTCAATCTATCCAACGTACAGTACTTATTTCGCCCAAACTTTTTTTCGCTAGCTTTACGACCGTTTGGTGAACCCGACCGGGCAATTTCCGCTTTATTTTCGACCGCGCAAACCCGGAAATATCACTGCCAGCTCGCTCGCATTTAAAATTCGGACTAATAACACATTTCCGAGGTTCACATTGTCTTATATTGTCTTTCTGGTTTTCATAGATGTTAAACAGTCGACAAAAGTTCAAATACTTTTTGTTTTAACTATCTATAATTATATGCACGCAATCTGACCCTTTGACCTCGATTTGGCTGGGATTGAATATTTTATTTTAAAC